CCTCCTCTGCCTTCCCGGGCCACAGCAGAGAGCTGGACTGGAAGAGGAGCGACCGGGACAGAATCCGGCGCCCCGACCGGGACTAGAACCTGGTGTGCTGGCGCCGCAGGCGGAGGATTAGCCTATTGAGCCACGGCGCCGGCCCTAATTTTATTTCAATGTGTGTGTGTGTGTGTTACATATATAACATTTGTTACAAAGAGAGGGGGAAGGGGGCTTTCCCTGAGCTCCCTGGGAATAACCAGGAAATCTGAGCTGGAGGCAGAGGGACCTGGAGTAGACAGGCACTCACCGTTGAGAGTGGTGTTGTTGGCCCAGACAATTTGCCCATCTGGCAGTACCTTTTGGCTTTCAGGAAAGTGCAGGGCGATGGAGAAGGACGCGTTTGCACCAATCAGTGTAGGCCCATCATTGCTGACCTTCAGGGACACCTGGCCACCTGGGAGGGGACGTCACATCAGCTGGGAGTCCTCAGCTTCTCTCCCCATTCACCTTTCCCGTTCTATCTTCTCAAGTTACATACAACCCAGTTCTTTTTTTTTTTTTTTAATGGTTTATTGATTTGAAAGGCAGAGAGAGAGATGGAGAGAGAGAGAGAGAGATCTTCCATCTGCTGGTTCACTCCCCAAATGGCCACAAAGGTCAGGGCCGGGCCAGGCAAAGTCAGGAGCCTGAACTCCATCCAAGTCTCCCATATGGAAGTCAGGGGCCCGAGGATTTGAGCCATCTTCTGCTGCTTTCCCAGATGCAGGGAGCTGGATCACAGGCAGAGCAACTGGGACTCCAGCTGGTACTCCAATATGGTATGATAGCATTGGAAGCAGTGGCTTAATCCACTGAGCCACAATGCCGGCATGCCTGACCCCCACCCCACCTTTTTTTAAATTAATTAATTAATTAATTTTAAGGGCAGATAGATGGGGGTAGGGTGAGGGAAAGAGAAAGAGAGAGATTCCATCTGCTGGTTCATTTCCCAAATGTTTGCAACATTTGGAAGGCCAAGCCAAGGACTCCATCCAGGACTCCTACATGGGTGGCGGGGAACCAAGAACTCAGGCCATTATCTGCTGCGTTAGTAGGAAAGTGGATCAGAAGCAGAGGAGCCCAGACTCAAAGCGGCACTCAGTGCTCACCCCCAACATCTCAGTTTTTGTTCTTCTTCCATCCCAGTCCCATCAGGTTCCCTCCTACCTCTCCAACAGTCAGACCTCTGGGCTTCTGTCCACTCTGGGTACAGCTGCCTGTTCCACGCTTTAGCTCTGAGCTTCCTTGAGGCACCAAGCCAGTCCCGGTCTGTGGATCCTAAAGGGAATTCACCATGAATCCTCACCCATTCCTTCTCTCTCTTTTTTTAGAGTGGACAGTGAGAGAGAGAGAGACAGAGAGAAAGGTCTTCCTTTGCCATTGGTTCACCCTCCAATGGCCGCCGCAGTCAGCGCTGTGGCAGGCGCACTGCGCTGATCCAAAACCAGGAGCCAGGTGCTTCTCCTGGTCTCCCATGGGGTGTAGGGCCCAAGCACTTGGGCCATCCTCCACTGCACTCCCGGGCCACAGCAGAGAGCTGGCCTGGAAGAGGGGCAACCGGGACAGAATCCGGCGCCCTGACCGGGACTAGAACCCGGTGTGCCAGCGCTGCAAGGCAGAGGATTAGCCTATTGAGCCACGGCGCCGGCTACCCATTCCTTCTCAGAGATAGCACTTTATTCCATGTCACCCCAGTCATTCTCACATTCAAATTGCATTTTCATTGGCACCATGTACTAGACACTGTTCTAGGCACAAAGATTTATTTACTTATTTGAAAGGGAGAGTGACAGAGGAGACAGAAACAGATCTTCCATCTGCGGGTTCACCCCCAGAGGGCAGCAACAGCCAGAGCTTTGGGCCAGGAAGAAGCCAGGAGCCAGGAACTCCATCCTGGTCTCCCACATAGGTGGTGGGGACTCAAGTACTTGAGCCACTATCCGCTGCTTCCCATGCACGCCAGCGGGGAGCTGGATGTGGAGCATGGGATACCATTATTCCAACCGGCACTCCCACATGGGAGCAGGTGTCCGAAATAGCGGCTTAACCTGCTCTACCACAATAGCTTCCCCAGAGGCACAAAGAACTTAAGAAACGAATAAGATACGGCTCTGAAAGAATTTAGAGTGAAATGTAGGAATGGACACATACATAAATTACTGTAATGGCAAGCTTTATTTATTTATTTATTTATTTTGTTTATTTATTTATTTTTGAGCAGCAGAGAAACAGAGCAAGAGCCACCATCTGCTGATTCACGACCCAACAGTTCCCAGCTGGGGCCAAAGTTAGGCGCTGGGAAATCGACCCAGATCTTTCATGTGGGTAACAGAAACCTAATCACTGGAGCCATCTCTGTTGCTTCCCAGGGTCTGCTTCCCAGGTGGGAAGCTGGAGGCGGGAGCAGATCTGGTGTCAAACCCAGGCCCTTTGATGCCGACAGCAGGCATTGCAACCACGAGGCCCAATGCCACCCCGGTGGTACTGTTCAGTATGTACCACAACAGACACAAAGGTCGTACAGAAGGATGCCATACCGAACAAATGAATTCCACGCTAGTGCTGGGGTGTTGGGAAAGGCTTCAACGAGGTGCTGCCCTAGGACCACAAGCAAGGGTGCACTCCCATGGGCTGAGGGGATGTGTGGGGCCGTGGGGTACCAGGCTGAGGGGTTTGGTCTTTATCCTATAGTCATGGCCACTTTTGAAGGTTTGTCTTTTTTTTTTTTTTTTACTTTGTTTTGTTTCACATTGAAACATAAGTCACTTAACATAAAATTTATCCTTCAGAAGCTGTTTGAATGTAATCAAAAATGTGTGATTTAGAAAGATCACTAGGGCAAGAAATGAGGAGGAGGGGTTAGGGGCTGGCAGAGATTGGAGGTGGGGACAGAGCAATCAAATCTGTACCTGACCAAGAAAGTGTCTGAGTGGAAACAAGCATGGGATGGACCTCCATATTCCCTCACCCAGATCCAACAACTACCAACATTCTGCTGCGTTGGCTTTAGTTACCTTACCTGGCTGCTGTTCTTGCATTTGGCTAACATATCTCAAAAAAAAAAAATGTTTTGTTATTTAACTCTACAAATTCAATACGTATATGGAAAAAATTTTTCTTTCATAAATGCAATGTCATTTGACACTGGACAAAATGATCAAGCCCAGGCCATGTAAAATTCCAAGAATATTTACGAAAAAAAAAAGTCTTCTCATGATTTTCAAAAGCAAGATCCAAGATGTTAGCACCATCTCCCAAGAGCCTCAGGTGTGTGGGTGAGTAGAATGTTTCCAGCATACATAAAGGAACATAGTGAAAGGAGAGGACTAAAACTGCAGCAGGAAAGAGGGAAGTCGGATTCAGGAGAACTTCCGAGAAGCAGTGAGCCCAGGGATGGAGAGAGGGAAAGCAAGTGGTCGGGATATGAGGGGCTTATTTTAGCACAGTAGAAAGCATTCTCACCCCATTTCTGGGGTGCTGGGGGAAGATCTGGAGTTATCTCTTGAGCATCATGCCACCAGACAAAGAAAAGTCATAAGATGCTCTGTTCTTTCTCGAACTCCAACCCCCCCCTCCTCGGAGCAGCACGGGACATTCCAGACCCTCTCACCCTCCCTCTCTTGCTCCCGTCACGAGGTCCCAATCCCCCAGAGCCCTTGCATGTGATGTTCAGCTGAGACCCCTCTGCCAGAACAAAAGGTCTGGGCTGTGTTCACTCATCCCCATCCAAAAGGGGACGGTGGTGCCCATTGAGCCTTCTGATCCAACGCTACACTCTCTTACTTCCCACTTTAAATCCCCTACTCCAAAGTGTCTGAGACATTACCTACAAGAGTCCCCCCCCCACCAATTTCACCCCTTAGAGTCCTTGCTGCAGTTCACCACCCAAGGGGTGTCTGAATTTGTGCTGCAAAGACCCACTATCCTCTGTCCCTCCAAGGAGATGGATTATTTTCATACTCAATCCCAAATCTCCTTGGAGGGAGGGGGCTCAGGTACTCTCATGTCCTCACCAAACCAAATACATGGGAGAAGTATGAAGTGTTGCTGGCATCTCCCACCAGGAGGCGGGGAAACCAGAGAAGGTGTGCGTCCTCAAATTCACACCTGCTCCTGTCCTTGCACCCACACTCACCTTCTGCGCCCCCTGCAGCCAGCAGGACACTCATCCCAGCCAAGTGGAGAAGGCACCCTCTCAGCACCAGGTCCATCCTGTTCTTCTCTCCAGCAACCAAAGGCGCTGGGGGGCCGGCCCAAGCCCCTATATAAGAAAGGGGTGCACATTTGCATAGCCCTTCCTCCTTTCTCTCCAGGGGAGGCCTGGGAGGGGCAGGAGGACTGGAGGGGGGGTGGGCAGAACCGGCTAGGGACCCCGGTCCCTGGCTGGACCTTCCTTCCCCACCCTGCTACACAAAGACAGTTTCTGGTTTCACTGGGTCGCTGTCATCTCTATCCTCCATCCCCTGGGGAAGAGTTGGCTGCAAAGCAGCTACAGAGCACACATGCGACACACACCATTCATCGTGGAAGAGCTAATGCACCGGTTCTATCAGACTAGGAACCCCGGCGTCCAAAACAAAGGGAGACACTATCTGGGCAGGCTGAGGGGCGCGGGCAACGACACCTCCGAGGCCCAGAAATCCTCTACGGCGAGAATCCGAAGCTTCCTTGCTTTTCAAAGGAGTCTCCCTAGACCAGTTGGAATTTTTAATCCACACATTTTCCCAAGGGGCGAGGTGAAAATAGTGAGAGGTCAGAGAATCCCTACTACCGCCTGGAGACGGGACTACAGCCAGGTGCTTGGGAACAGGGGCTCAACCATGCCACGGAGACAGACACCAGTCTCCGCCCTTGGAACCAAACTTGCGCGGGGCGGGGTCCTCGGCGGCGCGGAGAGCGGGCCCGGCCCCTCCCCTTCTTACGCCCGCCAATCGGAAAGGGAGGGGGCGGGGCCAGGGAAACGCGGGAAGGAGAGGCGGGGCCTCTGGTGGCGGTCGGGAACGGGGGGGTGGAGGCGGCAACATTGTTTCAAGTTGGACAAATTGACAAGAGCGAGGGATACACAGCGTTCCATCGCGCCCTGGGGCCTCGGTGCTGGGTCCTGTTTCCCGCCCCTCCGCCCACGAGAGCCCGGGCCCGCTTTCTGCAGGGTTCCCAGGCCCCCCGGCTCCAGGGCCGGGCGGACCCGGCTCGCTGGCGCTTCATGGAGAACTTCCAAAAGGTGGAAAAGATCGGAGAGGGCACGTACGGAGTGGTGTACAAAGCCAAAAACAAGCTGACGGGAGAAGTGGTGGCGCTCAAGAAAATCCGCCTGGACACGTGAGTGGCCTCCGTAGCCGCGACCCTTAGCCGGGGCGCGCCGGGACGCCCCCCGCCCCCACCGCGCGCCCCCACAGGCGTGGAGCCGTCCAGGGACCGGAAGGTAGCAGGGTGGGCCGCCTTTTGAAGTGAGACAGCGTACGGAGTTTCGCCAGGGAGAGTGTAGGGTGGCGTAGAGTCTGTGGAAAGCCTCTTCCCGACACTCAGCCGGAGGTGTGGGGGGTGGATGCCCCCAAAATGTGCAACCAGAAAGACTCCGGGGGCAAGAAAGGAGGCCCCCGGGATTGGGGAGGGCGGGTGTCTAGGAGCCCCCTTGGCGCAGGGTTATGCGGGACCTAATGAGCACTTTTCAGAGTTACTAGCCCTCCGCGCTGCCTCAGCTCCACTCTCACTTTAGAATTCTCTCCCTCCAAAGAATGGCAGTTGAGCCCCACTGGCCCCTCTGGGGAGGCTGGGTGCCACTGCTACGTATTTTGTTCTGTCACCTCCCTGGCTCACCTTCACCAGGGAGGCTTTACTTATATAGCCCTGGGAAAGGAGGAACTAAGGATCTGAATGGATCTGAAAGCCACACCCTGACTACCCAGAAATTATCTTTACTTTTCTTAGGGGGGGCCTTTTGGGGCTGGGGGGATGGGAGCGGTATTTGTAACCATATTCGAGTCTGCTTTCTCAACCTTTCCAAGTGAGACTGAAGGTGTACCCAGCACTGCCATCCGGGAGATCTCTCTGCTTAAGGAGCTTAACCACCCCAATATTGTCAAGTAAGTGTGCGTCTGGGAGGTGATCACAGCAAAGGAGGTTGAACCTCTCTGTGGTCTGGGTGGTCTCTGCTGCCCTTCCACTTCCTGGGTCTTCCTTTCCCTAGGCTGCTGGATGTCATCCACACGGAAAACAAACTTTACCTCGTTTTTGAATTCCTGCACCAAGATCTCAAGAAATTCATGGATGCCTCTGCTCTCACTGGCATTCCTCTTCCCCTCATCAAGGTGATCCTTCTGAGTGATTGTTATCTTGGCCTTCTGCAGAGCCCTCATCACCCTCCCCCACCAACCCCCACACTCCTAGTACTTTTTGTCTCTTTCCCTGCTCATTATACTCATTAACCCTAGGGCTGGGCTGGAGAATCAAAGTTGAAACTTAGTGACTCAACCCCGTGGCTCAGGTGGGAGGTCAGATGAAACTCAGATAAATGGGATTTGTGAGCTCTTGGTAGATCCCTTCAAAAAGCCCTTTTGTCTTTTTAGTGGGAGAAATAGTCAAGGAATCTCTGTTGTCTGTTGTAGAACTGGATTCTTCACTCCCAGAGTGACTTTCCATCTATCAACAAGTGTTTCTTTTTTTTTTTTTTTTTTAAAGATTTATTTATCTATCTGAAAGAGTTAGAGAAGGGGAGGGGGGGGGTCTTCCATCCGATTTCCCACTCCCCAGTTGGCTGCAACGGCTGGAGCTGTGCCAATCCGAAGCCAGGAGCCAGGAGCTTCTTCCAGGTCTCCCACATGGGAGCAGGGGCCCAAGTCCTTGGGCCATCTTCTACTGCTTTCCCAGGCCATAACAGAGAGCTGGATTGGAAGAGGAGCAGCCGGGACTAGAACCGGTGCCCATATGGGATGCTGGTGCTTCAGGCCAGAGCGTTAACCCGCTGTGCCACCGTGCCAGCTCCGAGATTTATTTATTTATCTAAAAGAGTTACACAGAGAAGGAGAGGCAGAGACAGTAAGGTCTTCCATCCCCTGGTTTACTCCCCAGTTGACTGCAACGGCCAGAGCTGGGCCAATCTGAAGCCAGGAACCAGGAGCCGGGAGCTTCTTCCTGGTCTCCCATGTGGTTGCAGGGGCCCAAGGACTTGGGCCATCTTCTACTGCTTTCCCAGGCCATAGCAGAGTGCTGGATCGGAAGTGGTGCAGCTGGGACTCAAACTGGCATTCATACAGGATGCTGGCACTGCTGCAGCAGCTTTACCTGCTACGCCACAGCGCTGGCCCCCAACTAGTGTTTCTTGAATGCATGTGTATTAAACCTTCAACCTGTAGCTACAGGGCATGAAAGAGATACAAATCTGCTTAAGACCTGGTCCTGATCTTCCTGGGACTGGGAGTCCTACCAGCAAAAATAGCTTGTAACTACAAAATAACATAGTAAAGACTTTAGTGGAGCTCTGTGGGCAAAGAGCAAACTGATGTGCTTGTTGTGATTGAACAACAATCCCCTCTCTTCCCCCTGTCAGAGCTATCTGTTCCAGCTGCTCCAAGGCCTAGCGTTCTGCCATTCTCATCGGGTCCTGCACCGAGATCTAAAACCTCAGAATCTACTTATCAATGCAGAGGGCTCCATCAAGTTAGCCGACTTTGGACTAGCCAGAGCCTTTGGAGTGCCTGTTCGTACTTACACCCACGAGGTGAGTCCACAAACCCCTCCACCCCCCGCCTTGCTTTTCTTCTCTGAGCTCCCCAGGAGGGGTTAACAAGGGCATTCACAAAGTTACTAGAAATATTTGGCCAACAGTTTCTCTTACTATATGAAAAGAATCTCTGAGACCCTAAGGGGTCTTAGGGTATGCACACAGTTCCTTCTGTGGTGCTAACTGGGATTTTTCTTTTTAAAGGTTAATTCTACTTATTTGAAAGGTGGAGAGACAGAGAAAGAGAGATCTTGCACCTCTTGGTTCACTCCCCAAATGGACACAACAGCCAGAGCTGGGTCAGGCTCCTGCGTGGGTGGGCCATCATTCACTGCTTTTCTAGGCACATTAACAGACAGCTGGATCAGAAGTGGAGCAGCTAAGACTTGAACCAGCACTCCCATGTGAGATGCAGTTGTCGCTGGCAATGGGCTTTTCCTAAGCCAGGACAGCTGGATGGGACACCACTAAAATTAGGACCGTTTGTCGCAAGTTTTCCAGGAAAGTCCCAGCTTGGAGGTTCAGAAGATATGGCCCCTATGTGGACTAGGCTAACTCTGAGCTAAGAAGTTGTGTGTAATCGCTTCTCACAGGGAGATCAGAGGAGGGGGAGGATGGAGGAGAGAAACATCTTGTTTTAAGGCTAAGAGTTAGCAGAGTGGAGCTGAGAGGTGAGGGCCCTGGAAGCCAGCTCTCATTCCTCTTCTTGTCTCCCAGGTGGTGACCCTGTGGTACCGAGCCCCTGAGATCCTCCTGGGCTGCAAATACTACTCCACAGCCGTGGACATCTGGAGCCTGGGCTGCATCTTTGCCGAGATGGTACGGAGGCTTGTCCCAAGTTCCACCCAGCCCGTTCCTCCCCACGTCTAAGAACAACAGGACTGTTTCTTGGCCTGGGCCCGTGGCCCTTCTTTCAAAGGGTTCTCTCCAGCAGCATCAAGGCGGGTGTGGGGAAAGGATAGGACGTGGCCCCCGAGCAGGCTTAGTGTCCCTCTTCACCCTGAAATGGGTAAATCATTTGTGCAGCTGTTTTACTGTTGGTCTGCGTATATTAGAGGGAATGCCTTCCAGGGAGCCGCTCCTTCATTTGGCCGGTAGACTTCATTTGCCAGGAATGGAGTAAGCCAACCGGGATCCCTTTACCCACACCCTTCACACAATCTGCAGGCTTCAATCACGTCCCCTCCCCCCTATCTCCCCATAACGGAACCGTGGAGTAGGCCGAATCTTCCAATCCAGCAGCAATAAGTTTTATGGTCCTTTACGTGGGTTGCCACTGGGGACTAGGAGACAATAGCCTATACATCGTCCCCAGTGCATTACCTTGCAGTTGCCCATATTCTGCTCTCAATTCATTAAAAAATATCTGTTAAGCACCTAGTGTGTGCCCAGCACCATGCTGGGTGCTGTGGGGAACACAGAAGAAATGGAAGACACAGTCTCTGCCCGCTGTGCTCCTATCTAGAAGTGGCCGCATCCCAAGGAGGGGGGATGACCGCAGTGTCTACCCCACATCCCGTGAGTGGCTTGGGATCCCTTTGCTACGTGTCAGCGGCACCCCAGACATTCAGCCCCTCCCAGCCCCACCCAGCCTTGGGGGTCTGTAAAGCCATGGATGGGGGAAGGAAGGAGGGGTGAGGAGCCAGATGAAGGGACTTCATTGTCTCAGGCTGTGTGTGACTGACCCCATGGCAGGCCCTGGGGAGGGAGTCATGGGGCCCTGCTGACCTTCCACTGCCTGTGGGAACCTCTTCTGTGCGGGGGACAGCTGTGACTGACGTCAGTGTGGGTCTTTGCCTCCCTCCCCCTTTTCAGGTGACCCGCCGGGCCCTGTTCCCTGGTGATTCTGAGATTGACCAGCTCTTCCGGATCTTCCGGACTCTGGGGACCCCAGATGAGGTGGTTTGGCCAGGAGTTACTTCAATGCCCGATTACAAGCCGAGTTTCCCCAAGTGGGCCCGGCAGGATTTTAGCAAAGTCGTGCCTCCCCTGGATGAAGATGGACGGAGCTTGTTATCGGTGAGAGTGGGCATCTGTTTCCCCTTGCTCGTGCCCTGTCCGCGGGAAGGGCTTGCCTACGATGGAGGAAGATGAGCCCCTGACCCGGGGGTCTCCGCCTTTGCGCTTCTCTCCCCATCGGCTGGCTCAGAGAGGGGAGGGGGGCAGTGAGAACTCTGTCTTGGGAACCAGGAGTCCTGGTTTCCTGATTTCACTGAAGTCCGCATCCGTCTCTCCCTCCAGCAAATGTTGCACTATGACCCCAACAAGCGGATTTCGGCAAAGGCAGCTCTGGCTCACCCCTTCTTCCAGGATGTGACCAAGCCAGTACCCCATCTCCGACTCTAACATCGTGGCCCAAGTTCCTCCCCCCCCCCCCCCCCCGCCCCGGGTGTCACCCACTCCTCCCAGTATGGGCTTGATCCGGCGTGGCCCTCCCCGCTGTTTGGGCGCAGGTGGAGGCCCTCTGATCCTGTCCGGCAACTGTGACACTTCCCTGCCCCTGCTGGCCTGCCGACGCTGGGCACAGAAGGGTTGAGGGAGGAATGGGTGAGAATGAGAGGAAGTTGCAGTGTTCCGTGCACTTACGTCAGTGTCCACCACCCGCTCCCCTCCTCATAGTCCTTGCTGAGAAGGGCTCGTCTTGGAAAATACCAGAGCTGACTGTTCTCTCCCAGACTCTGAATGCCCCATAATTATTATCCCATGTGTTTGGGCCCCCAAGCCTCCTGTGGCCACTAGTTTTGTAAAGGTCAACTACTAACAGGGTTGGCTAAGCTGGAACTTTGGAGAAAGGAGCAGGAAGAACACCACAGGGAGGAAGTGTTCTTAAAGAATTCAGTTAAAACCACTCGTGGGTTGCTGTTTCACCTCACCTGACAAGTGGGCAGACCCAAGACTAGGCCCCGGGGGGGCCTGCAGGAGAAATGGCAGCCCCTAGCCCCTCTGTCTGCCCCGGCTGTGGGCCAGAGGACTTGAAGGCTCTTAACACAGGCACTGTGCCTCCCTCCCATCCATTCTCCACGGCCTTAGAGGCAGGTGAGAGAGTTTGGATTTTTCTCTGCCCTCGGGATTCTTAGTTGTTCAGCTACCATGGATCCCTGCTCCTGTCTTTTCTGAGGGCCACCCCTGCCCCCTAGGAGAGGAAGTTAGGGTTTAGACATCCTTTTGAGAATGCTGACACTTCCAGGGATGACATTGGGAAAATATATTTCTTTAAAAGAAGGATGAACAATTATATTTATATTTCAGGTTATGGTTTTTAAACAGGAGCGGGTGGATTTTTTGCCATGTGCACCTTGGGGTTTTGTAATGGAAATGTTAAAAATGTTTTCCTTTTTTTATCATTCTGGCTCTTTTTCTTCCACCTCTTGAACTTGAGTGCCCTTACTATTAACGTTATTTGTAATTTAGTTTGTAATTCATTAAAAAAAAAGTTCCTAGTTTTGTAGTTATTTTGTTCCTCCTATTATTCACGGGAAGAATGGTGTGAGAGAGACCAGGCAGGCGAAATTGTGGTGACTGGTTTTAGGCCTCTCTAGGCAGGGATACCCTCTCACTCTGTTTTGGTCTCTAAGATGCACTTGGAGTTGGGATAGGACCCAGGGTGAGTAACGTGGGTATTAGACCCATTTTACAGCCAGGGAAGCTGAGGCCCTGTCATTTCCTCCTTCACTTTCCCCACACAGCAAGTCCTACCTCCCCCCACCCCACCACCCCCACACACACAGCGACCATTCCAGAATCTGCAGTAGGGTTGGAAGTAGGTTCCAGAAGAATCCATCCACCTGTACACCGCCTTTCCCAGTAAGCCGCGTTGATTTTCCTTTCTGTTGCTTATCACACACGGCAGAGTTTCTGAAGATTATCTTATTCACATTTACATACAATTCAAAAAATACCCACTGAGTATAGAAAATTACTACCACGGCGTCTCCAGCTACTGCTTTTTGTAGTTGCCATTGTCTCCATCAAAAAAACATCTCAGATCGCCCGCAGGCCACGCCGAAAACGCACGTCCTCTGAACCCTCGCTAAAAGGAAGAGCGCTGAGGCGCGTCTCAAATTCCCAGGCGCCGGGTCCCCTCAGAGGTATTTCCCTTTACGCCCGCGAATTTGTCATAGAGGGCGGGGCCCCGAGTCAGCCCCCGCCAAATCCAGGGGGAGGAGCGAAGGTCAGTAACGGCCTCCCTCAGGCTTCCTTCAACCCCGCCTTGCCTGCCAGTCAAGTCCCGAATTTCCGCAGCACTGGCTAAAGTCTCACTTGGACCCGCCTCCATCACTCACCTGATTAGATGTTTATGAGTCAAAAGGCGGGGGTCATGGGGTGTCGAGGTTTTATTGGCTGGTACGCACGTCTATCAACGACGTACCGCCCCCTGTCTCCGGGAGCTCGCTCTTTAACGGCCCATCACCTCGTCCGTCTTCCAGGTTTCTCTCCCTGTATTGGCTTATGACCCTGCCTGTCCAGTCCCTTGCTCGTACTCGTTGGCGACAGCACCCCAAGAGTCCCGCCTTTCTCCAGAGGATTGGCGGATGAGTGCACATACAGCCCACCCTCGATGGTAGGCGGGTAATCATGCTATTGGCTGGGGCCCCCGCCCCAGGGCGAGGAGGAGGAGGAGGGGCAGGAGGTTTGGTTGAGTTGCAGCTGTTTGTCTGTTCGACACAGGCTTGGGCCCGACGGGGGAGACGGAGCCCCAGGTACCGAGCTGATGGAGCCCACAAGGGCAGAGGCAGAGGCGCCGGGAGATGAGAGCGGCCTGGCCTGAGAGCGCAGTCGGGTCTGGGCCTAGGCGAGGGGTTAGAGAGTGGCCCAGTGGAGAGGGGAGAAGGGGGCCGGGCCCCGGCAGGCCTAGTGGGGGCGCTGAGGAGGGGACCGGGCGGGCTGGGAGGCTGAAGTTGGGGAGGCGGCTGGATCCCGGCGGCCGGGAGCCGGAGGCCGTGCGAGGGTAGGGGAAGGCCTCATTACTCATGGAGAGGGAGGAGCTGGGGAAAGGGACGGGGCAGCGGGTGAGGTAAGCCCATTTGCCTGGCGGTGAGAAGGGGTCAGAGCTGACGCCCGGGCCCCGGGGGTAGCCGGGGCCGGGTCTCTTGGAGGGCTGTCTTAACTGGGAGGGCCCGAGAAGGGCTCTTAGGTTGGCTAAGAGGCATTCTTTTTGAGGGGGAAGTGGCTGCCGTGAAGAGACTGGGGGTGCTGTGATGTGAAGCCGAGAGGATTTCTGTTCAGGGAGACGAGGGCAGCTCTGCTCGTCTGGAAGACTGAGGTAGTTGAGGGCACGGAAGCAGGGCCTGGTGTCCCTTGCCGGGGCTTCTGGGGCTGTGCTGCAGGGTGGGCTGGACGCTGAGCCTCGGGAGAACCCGTTCTTTTGTTCCCCTTAGCGTCTCGCTGGGGCAGTGGGAAGGTTTTTGATAGTCCCAGGGTAGGGAACGGAGAAAGAAGTGAGTTTACTTTTTTCCCCATGACTGTTGACTGCTCCTGGTTCAGCCCCTGCACTTTCTCTCTGGGTCTGGTCTTAGACTGCAGTTCTTCTCTTCCCTACCACGGATTCCTGTCTGGCGAAAGAAGTTGGTAACTTGGCGATGTTTTGTTCAGTTCTTTCCCACTTAATAATGTGGTCTTCAGCCTAGAAATGGGCAATGATCTCATTATTTACCCAGAAAGGAACTTAGGGATCCCTGGCCATCAAGAGATAGTCTGAGCGTAGTTGGTGGAAACTTTTGTGGGACTTAGACTTGGGGCGTTCCTGGTCAGGTACTGAAGTTAACCAGGCCTGGAATTAAGAGGTGATACCAGTGAGGAAGAGATTTGGAGAAGGAGAAATTCCATTGCAGAAGGTTGGCATCACCACCTTGTTCTTTGTCCACTTCCTCAGGAGCCCAGGTTTCTGTGCTATTAGGAAGTTGAGTCGAACCATCAGGTATTTGAGGAATGGAGGAATAGAGAAGAAAGAAGGCAGAGGATTGGAATCCTGTTCTCTCCATTTTTAATGGTCTGCTGACCTAGTCCCTGATAAATGGGAGCCTATTTGATTTTCCCTGGCTGTACTTCCTCCTTTTTCCCTTCTATACTGATGTATTTTATCAATGCATTCCTGAGTTACAAAATATCCATATGTTTTTAAGTACTTTTACTTGTGCTGTACAGAAGTACACAGTGCAAGTCCTCCTTCACATACCTCCTGTTTGACTCAGGGAGGTCGAGACCAGACTGATCTAACTGGGGGATGTGCCATCAAAAGCAATTCTGTTTTTGTGTTATCAGACTGTCATCTGTCATTTCTTTACCTTTTCGGTGTTAGTCTGTTATTCTTTCACTGGCCATTTTATTTTCCACCAAATTCAGACAACCAAGGGAGGGGTGTGTTTTAGGTTATCGTTTGTTTCCTGCAGTACACACACACATCCCAGTTGTGCACTAGAGACCCTAAGAAATGTTGAGGTAGAGGGAGAAAATTTTTTTCTGTTTTATCGGCAAGAAAGAAACATTAAGGTGAATCAGACCATTTTGTCTAGGATAATTATTGGCATGTCTGAAAGTGAAGAATTCAAGACTTCTGTCTTCTGGTTCATGGTCTCTGCATATTCACATCACTTAACCATCCATTCCTTATCCTGGAAAATGAGAATGATTTTCCTAAGAGGCCCCTTGTATCTCTCTTTCTAAAGGGATCTGAGAAGCTTCCAAGTTTCTCTAGACTTGAAATTGGTTTTCTTCTAAATCGGAGTTGAGTATATGGCTAGGGCATTTCTTCCTCTCTTCTCCCCTCCCCTCCTATGTCTTTAATGTCTGTTTATTTTCCTCTGCTTGACAGAGCAACAGAGAAAAAGAAATTGATCTGCTGGTTTACTCCCCCAAATGCACATAACAGGCAGAGCTAGGCAGGGCTGCCTGGAGCCTGGAACTCCATCCTGGCCTCCCACCTGGGTGGCAGAGCCCCCAAGCACTTGGGCCGTCATCTTCTGCCTCTCAGGATACAGTAGCAGGAAGTTGGGTAAGAAATTGAATAGCAGAGCTTGAATGGGGGACTCTGATATGGGATGCAGGTGTTCCAAGTGCAGCTTAACCTGCTGTGCCCCAAAGCCACCCCATAGCTAGAGCATTTCATACTACTACCCTGTTACTTTAATTTGTCCTTACTGGCTTTATAGAATCCTTCTAATATGTCCTGCCTTTACATTGCCCATCAGAAATGATGCTTATTGTTCCCTATTTAAAGAACTTTTCTCACCTGCCAAGCCAGTTCTTGAGAAAATTGTATAGCGGAATGTATGTTTTAACCCTGTCCATTCTGCCATTTTCTGAACCCTCATCATATCCCATCTCCTCATCATATCCTGTTTCTGCTCTATGTTCCTTTGTGTTTTTTTTTATCTACTTTACCCTTCATCAAAACTTACCTTCATAGAAGAATCTGGAATTGTTCCGTATTAAAGTGTAAGTAACACACAGTCATTTAAAGTATTGAGTCTTTCAAGGACTTGTGCACCTTAAGAGGGAGCTACGGAGTGGAATTATCAATGTGAATTTCAAACATGGACCTGGAGTTGCAAGACTATATTTGGAGAAGAGGGCTCTTCTGTTGTCCCATGTCATCATAACCTTGTATCATCTAATTCTTTGCCTAGCAGCAAGGGTTGCTCTTCTCTGTTTTGCTTGTGTGCACTGACGTGAAGTAGACTGCTGAAAACAAGGCTCAAAGTAGGAGGAGCAGTTATATAGCCCACTCCCTAATCCTAAAGCGTTTCTGATGAGAAAGTAGCCAAAGTGTGAAACAGTGAGCTTGAAATAAGGAAATATAGCAGCCCTCTGAGAGGAAGGGCACCATAAACTCCCTGCACGTTATACTCCTACTTCCCAGGAGTGTTCTAGGAAACAGCATTCACTGAACAGCAACTGAGCTGAATAAGGGAAGTGCTCAGAGGGGCAGCTTGTGTGCAGACTTCTGGGCTACATTGTAGCTTTAGGAGCAATGGGGACCTCTGGAGTGGTAGGAATTACTTTTTAAACTTACGTTTCTCAAGTTCATGAATTTAGTAGATAATGACCCCAGACTTTTTTGTTTTTAAACTATTTAACATCAAGGGCAAATTCAGGGAACTTTGTTTTTAGCCACAGTTGCTTCAGTGTTGGGGTGGGAGGGCTGCATATAGAGTGTGATTAGGCCATCTAAGGCACAGTCACGGGTGACAGGAAAAGCAGTTAGCCCATGTGAGTTGCAACAGTACCTTGTGGGCTGAGTCCCGGGGGCCCTCCATCCAAGGGAGATCACAAAGGGACCAGGTAGTGAATTGGTTTTTCAGGCCTATTAAAAATGTGCCCAAACGGAACTGAGTAAGATCTACCCAGATGACACAGAAGTGGAGAGTTGATTGGGGAAGGGAAGCAGAATTACTTTGGTCATAATTAATTTAGGGAACATTCAGTGAGCACCTACCAGGGGCCAGTCATTGTGCCCTGCTGTGCAGATTTACAGTGACATGAAAAATGGTCTCGCTTTTTCAGAAGTTCAGGTTTTAGCAGAGCAAACAGACACAACTCTTACAACGTGGTAAATACTGTGACAGAAACACAATCTTAACACTGAGAGACCCAGTGGGACAACAGTGGTAGCAATGATGAATTCTACTTGGGAGCTAATTAAGCAGTCTCACAGAGAAGGTGACATTCGAGCTTTGCCTTATGAGATACATTAGGATTTTGCTAGGCAGAGTGAGGAAGGGCATTACAGTCTTTCCTAGGTCAATAATAGGCAGTTAGTACTACCATGCTGATACAAAATAAGTATACTTTCTACCTCTTAGAGAAATATAAGGGAAAAGGTGGGGGAAGTAAAAGGGCTTTCATTTTAGTCAGTGACTCATTGAATAACATTGGATTAACACAATGAAAGAGCTGAACCAAGTAGTGTATAAAACTCTCAGTTCAAGATTTTGGTGATTTGAGTCCAAATAAAGTTGGAAAGGAGAGGAAAGTATTTACTGGCTTCTGCTAAAACTTAGTAAAATTTTTTTTTTGAGACTACTTATTTGCCACATGGCAAAGTTAGAGAGGGAGAAACAGAGAGAGATGTTCCACCTGCTGGTGCAATCCCCACATGGCTGCAACTGCCAGGCTAGACCAGCCTGAAGCCAGGAGCCAGGAACACCAACCATTCTGGGTCTCCCACATGGATGGCAGAGGCCCAAGTATTTGGGCCATCTTCCACTGTTTTTCCAGGTGCATTAGCAAGGAGCTGTATCAGAAGTGGAACAGCCAGAACTCAAACTCATGCTCACATGAGATGCTGGCATTGCAAGTGGTGGCTTAACCCACTGCACCACAATGATGGCTGCTACTTAGTAATTTCCAGTATTAATCCCAATTCCATTGAGTCTTGTAAAAGTTATGTTTGTTTTCTTTTTGCTTCCCGTTGAATTTCTTTTATTCTAACTCTCCTGGCAGGAATTGATCAGGACCTTACAGAAAGGAGTAGTGACAAATCAGTCCTCTGTCAGAAGGGTACAGAACTGGACCCCATGTTAGGAAAGGCCTTGGTCTTCCTAGCTTGTTTTAAATTCCAAT